TGCCCTTTCTAACATGATAAACTTCCAAAATATTTATCAGAAGCAGAGCTCCATGGAGGATTTTAGATTAAAAATATGGTAAGTTAGTTATCTCTGTCTTGCCTCACTGTGTTCCATGTTGGGTTTTACATTCTTTAAAATACTGGTTTGAGGACACAGGCAATTTGCTCTTTAAGTGGTTATGTTCCAATCCATGAAAGCAGCCTGTTCAGGCTAGAAACTATCACTGAAATTTTTCCCAGATATTCCCTAATTAGCCACTTTCATCTAACTTACTGTGTTTTCCTTGAACCTCATATTTGCTTATTTGTCTATTATTTAGACAAATGGAAATGTCTGAGGTTATGCAACCCTGTGACAACTCTGGGCAGCATACTGTAAAAACCACTGTACAACAAGTTAAAATAAAAAACAATGGCAAATTCTAAAAGAAAAACAACCTTTAATACAATAGATACTTGTATTTGTATGTTTACTAGCAGAATGTTCGAAAAATACCTTGTAGTTCTGATGTTTAACAGGCTTGCAAGAAATGTAAAGTGTTGTTATGAGAATAGCTTCACTTTAAAAATTTATTTTAAGCCTATTCTGGCAAATCATATTGAAGACAGTGGCTGCGCCCTGCTTGATAATGAGTTTTCATGTATTAATTGATTTTTAAGTAATAAAGAACTTTTATTTTCATTCAGTCATGGCAATTAAATTAACCAACTCCATCCGTATCTGACACGTGTTTATCTAAAATATGTATAGTTGTAGAAGACTGATGCTTTAAGAAACCTAACAGAAGTGATCTGACAGTTTTTATATGCTGGTTTAGCTTTGTATTTCAGAATTGTAATTGTAATTGTAATTGTAATTCTTTTTTTAATCTTCAAATGTCCTAACCAGAGTTTACCTGAAAATTACTAGAGCAGACCTTTGTACTGAAAACAAGGTGGTTTATCTATCACAAATGAGGGCAATATGCTTTGCTGCTGCTGCATGCATGCTCAGTTATTGTTATACTGGAGAAATACCACAAAACACACTATATATCATAAAGGCATTACATTAGCAAAAAACAAGTCCAAGTTTGGGAGTTTGGGGGCAGGGTGTTAGAGCTCTCAGAACAGATGTTATCAAATGCTTGTGTTGTTACCATTTCATAACTTTGTTCCCTCCCCCCCCCACACACACACACAACATTTCAATAGGACAATTAAGTCATTTAGCAGTAATTGAAATCCCAACCATCAAAGTCAGGGATCCCCAATCTGTGGGCTCTGGCCCACTAGTGGGCTGTGAGGGGATTGCAATTGGGCTGCAGAAATGGCCAGCAAGCATGCGTGCATACACATCCTCACATGTGTGTGCAACAGACAAGCTCTATTTGCGTGAGCAGCAGGCGCGTGTGCACACTGCTCTTGCAAATGGAGCTACATGTGCATGTGCTTGCTGGCCACTCACATGGAACAATCCCCTCTCCCCCCCCCCTCCACCACTGGTCTGCATGGCCAGAAATATTGGGGAACTCTGATCTAAATAATTTACTGCACTAAGGTAAACAACTGTTCTTATCAGTGTCCAGAGTTCTAGTATGTTTGGAATATAATATAATAAAGTATCAATGAAGCCAATAGGATATGATGGTAAAACTAGGTGGCATGTTTTTTCATGAATAACAGTGGAATAGCAATAGCACTTAGACTTATATATGGCTTCATGGTGCTTTTAGAGCCCTTTCTAAGCAGTTTACAGAGTCAGCATATTGCCCCCAACAATCTGGGTCCTCATTTTACCAACCTCGAAAGGATGGAAGTCTGAGTCAACCTTGATCCAGTGAAATCAAACTGCTGACAGTTGGCAGAATTAGCCTGCGATACTGCATTCTAACTACTGCACCACCACAGACTCAACAATTAAGGGAATTCAAAAAAAGTTATTTGCATAAACAAAGAAAATTGTCTAAATATCTATGTTTAAATGTTCTAATTTTTCAATCAAGGTGTGGGGAGGAATTTTTTTTCTTTCAAGCCACTTCTGCTCTGCTGATCATTCTGCTAAGAATGGATAAAGGTTTGACCTTAACAACAGTCATATTTTATATTTTCAGAAATAGGGTACTAAGAATAATGCCTCAAACCCTAGTATATTGTACACTACTGTTTATGCTAATTGTGATTTAGTCAGTAAAATACATTTAAGTGAGATATTATTTAGAACAGCCTTCCTTAATGTTGATCCTCTCCAGATGTGTGAATTTAATGGTCTAATTTTGACATCTACTTATCTAGAGGACAAGAAGTTGGGGAAAATTTTCTTCATATGAGATGAAAATAGGACCCAGAAGATTTTATGCAAATTATTAGTTAAATACATTTATTTGCAACCATAGATTTTAGCCAATTTCATATAAAATTACGACAATTCATACCACTTCATTTCATTCCCCCCAAAATTAAAATTGTCAGCATCTGCTTTTGCATCTTCCTTGCTGCTATTTAAAAACAATGAAACATATTTGTTACATGTTCATCTATATCAGTCAGCAGGAAATCATTTTTTTTTTTTTTGTTTTATTCTGAACTGATTCAGGTAAGTTCACAAAGACATAATAAATCTAGCTCTGGGTTCCCGAAATAATTTGCAATGTAATAAGTAACAGATAAGATCTTCCACCTAGGAATTATCACAGATGCATAAATGCCAGGTAATTGGTAATCCTTTATATCTTCTATTCAGATAAGCTGTTGGCATTATCTGAAAATGAAGTTTTGTAAAAGCTTGTCCCAGAGAGTGGGATGTTAGAGGCTGTAAATAAGATGATATCCTTTTTTCCATTTTTAAGTGATCAATACCACTTGACCAACTTTAGCTTGTATACATGTTCTCTATTTTACCTAAAATCTTTAAAAAGTAAATGATCCCTCAATAATGTGTGATCATTCATTTAGCAGTTCTGGATCTAGTGAAAATTGTGAGAATATTTTTAGACACAAATTCACCCATTCGGTATTATTAAATTGTTTGTGGAGGCATGGTTTGCGAAATAAGTATCAGCTGATAAGTCATCTCCTATAACATAAAATATAAAACTATTGCTTTCTGTACCCTTATATAAATTGATGGAAGTCCCATTTGTAATCTCTGCATTGTTGCCAACATACATTGGAGTAAAGCTAGAACTGACCTCATAAATTTGTTCTGGACACACTCTAATTTTTCAGGTTCACTTAAATCCCAAATTGGGCCCCATATGTCAACTGTGAGATGGTTCCCTCCCCCTCCCCCAAAGTTCTTGTGAGCAAGCTGTACTAACCGGCCTACTTATGAATAAAAAAAGAGGCAAATAATTATCATGGATCACATAGCTGTAGTTCCATGATAATGTTTTAGTAAAATGGATGCTCAAATACTTGAATGATTTCATTTGTTCTATGTCTTTATCATTTAGGGTCCATCTATGACTCTTTGGCCTTTTGTCAAATACTACTCTCTTGGTTTTGAAATAATTCATTTGTAGTTATTCTTTCCTAGAATAAATGCCAAATTTTGTCAAGATTCCTGTCCTTCTAATTAACATTGTTGACGTAAGTACTGTATCATTGGCATATAGCAGTCATGGCGAACCTTTTAGAAATCGAGTGCCCAAACTGCAGCCCAAAACCCACTTATGTATCATTGGGTGCTGAGTGGGCATGGCCTATTGGGTGGGCGTGGCCCATTGAGTGGGCATGGCTGTGGTGGTAGCGGCAGACTGGGTGGGACTAAAAAGTTCAATCAATCAATTCCAACTTTGCAAGATCTTTTTTTTCCCCGCGAGAAGTTGAAATTGATTGATTGATTGAACCTTTTTTTTTTGCACACGGCGGTGGAGGCCTAAAGCAAAAAGGGTTTATAAAACCCAGCTGAAGGCCTAGGACTGGGGCAATGGCGCATGTGCCCACAGAGAGGGCTCTGCGTGCCACCTGTGTCACACGTGCCATAGGTTCGCCACCACGGGCATATAGTAATAAAAGACTTTCCTATTTCTGACTGAGAAGGTTTATTGAGCTTTTTTACAATGTTATTTATATAGAAGTTAAAGAGGAAAGAAACCATGCAGACTGTTGATTCACATAACTTTCAAGCTTGTTCCAACCTTTCAACCAGTTGATCTTATGACAAACATAAAATAACCTGTGTTATAAACTGATATGTCATATGGTAATATTATCTAGGTGAAGACAATCATGTTTACAATTTATTCCTATGGAGTAAAAATAAACCAAGTTGTTTTCACAATGATGTATCCAGCCCAAGGTTCATTCATATCTCACTTAGAGCCTATATAGTAACCTGAATTGCTCTTGAGATTGCCAGGTTCTAGAATTTGTCAAAACCTGTATGTTTTTCTTCTTTTTATTTTAGCTTTGAATCTAATTCTAGAACTTCTGTATATTTTTTGTAGAAAACAGTCAATCCTAATACAACATAACACATGAACATGTTCTCAAACACTTACTGGATACCCAAGAAACTCCTACTTTTGATGATCCAGTTCAATCTTGGCCAAGTTAATATCTTCCAGATCAGTTGCACAATAATTCTAGTTTAATAGGAAATTATAGAAGCTAATATTTAATAATCTGAGGGATGCTTGCTTGTGGAAGACAGATCTTATTACAGATAGTCCTCACTTTATAGCCACAGTTGGAGCTGGCAACCCCATTGCAAAGCAACGCAATTGTTAAGTGAAACATCATACAATCATGCGTAAGTTACAACATTAGTTCCACTGTAGACATTAAATGATTCACCATGGGCCATTAATCATGACATCATGTAAATAAGATTCCTGCCAGTTTCTCCATTGACTTATTTCTTGAAAGCCAGTTGCAAAATTACAAATAGTGATCGTGTGACTGCAAGATACTATAAATGCCATAAATGTTTGCCAGTTGTGTATTACCTGAATCACAACTGTCATAAGTTCAAGAACTAGTTGAAAATCTACATTTTCAATGCCATCATAATTTTGAAGAGTTGAACAAGGCAGTTTTTAAACAAAGGCTGTCTGTATTTGGGTGAAAAAAGCTTGTTCTGAAAGCGTTGCATTTTTGTAGCTCAGAAATTCTTTCCTATTCCACTTTAATAGAACGACATAGTAGAAGTATATCTTTCCACCTAAAGCAGAGAGAGAAAAAACCCAAAAGTAACATGTGGAAACACAATTCATGGGCTTCAGGGACAAGATTTCAAGAACCATTCTGACATTTATTAGTACTGGCTGGAAATAATATGCTTACCTTATCTATGAAGGACTTGTTAATCAATCTAACAAGGATGATTATGGATCCAGAAATGATATCACAAATGCATCAGATTTTAAAGTATAAGACTGACATTCTGAGAGTGTTGGATTTTCTGTATATATGGGTCTGCACATGACGGGGGAGAGACAGAGAGAGAGAAAAATTAAACTGAACCATTTTTTAGTTTAATCCAAGAAAATTCCATGCCTAGCAATTCACATGGGACAGTTCTAGGACAGTTAACTCTGAAGCTGAATTTATGAAGTTTTTATGTCATCTTCAACTGAACCCTGTTAGACAGCTTTACAACTGTTATTGCTTTATAACCTCCTGACTGTAAATTCTTCCATTATACTTTCTTTATTCAAGGATAAAAATATGTGCTCTGATGGTTTGTTATTTAAAACTAAAGGATTACATTCACTTAAAAATAAGATGATTGGTAGATTAGATAAAGGAAATACAAACCATTCCCAGTTACAGGTCTCTGGGCCCACTGTGAACATGTGCAGTAGATGGAACTGCAAGAAATGATAGTTAGCCTTTTACTCTCAAATGGAATTCTCAGAACACAGAAAGCTCTTAAGGATGAAAAGTAATGGAAGAAATAAAAGTTTTATCATTCTGGTGGGGAAGTGCATTCTTAAAATAGCTCAACATTTAGCAACATCCAGGAATTCAGATGATCTGAGTGAATTTCAGATTTCAGTGTATCTTTATGGTTAGGTACATCTTTTTCAAAGACAACTCATTTCATTTAGAAAAGTTAATTGATTCAGTTGTGGGTGCTCTTTTTTTATAAATTCTAATTATTGCATAAATAATTCATTTTGGATCCCTCTGAGATGTCTTTTAACAGCAGATTTCTTCATCCACATTTAGCATTTCAGTGTTTCCGTCTAACATCTTTCCATAAAAATGTGGATATGGCTTATGAATTATTCATATGATATATACTCGCAGGTAAGCTGAGAACTTTTGGTGCCAAAATACACTCCCCAAATTGAGTTTGGCTTATTTGCAGATGGATCTATCCATGAGTGTGTATGGTAATACTGCTGCTCAGCTATCGATAATATTATAGTAACCTTGTAAATTAACTTCTTTCATTCTAATGATCTTTAGAAGGCAATAGTTGGCACTGTGTCATGGAAATCTGTAAGGCTATCAAAAAAGTCAAGATGGCATCTGCAATCACACCATAGAAGTCCTGCTTCTTTTCAATCATGTGGCTCTGGCCACCATCTTATCTTTTTTCACCCCAACCTGCAGACACTTCTGTACAAAATCATCTTTTTTTCTAGTCCAGTGTTGTCCCTTTGGTTAATAGTCACTACTCTTATTTTTTATTCATAGCTTAGTTCCCTTCTTTTATTTGTAAACTTGATAGTGTGTACAACTTATAAGAACATACTTGTCAGAACTATATCGCCTCAGAGTACAGGCAAGCCATACTATTTAAATTTCTCCCATATGTTAAAAAGTATATAGAAAGAAGGGGCAAAAGATATCCTTGTATTGAAGTAGACTATTAGATATAGGGCTATGCTGAAAGTTTTCTTCCAAACTGTAGTTCCCTTCTTAAAGAAACACAATTCACAAAGGACTGTAAGCATGAACATTTATTGAACAAATATGTATGTCTTCAAGAGAAAATTATGAAAAATTCTGACCAGTAACAAAAAAAAAACAAAAGACTGAACACATGCGATCTACTATGAAGTATTACTTCCTCATTGTGTGTGGATTTTAATCAAAGTGCCATATCAGCCTTTTTTGCTGGCATCACTTTTGCAGATGTCCGCTCAAATATCCATTCCATTTTAATGTGTTTTTAATTTTATTTATTTCATTTATTTATTAATCTTTTATGCTGCCCATCTTCCCTACAAAGTGAGTCTGGGCAACTTACAAGTTATAAAACAAGTAAAAATAGTCAAACACATATTAACATATTATCAAGATTAATATGAAAATTCATACTAATGAATGAACATTAATAATATGAACATTTGGATTGAAATATATATTTCAACATTTATTCTCAAAATATACATTCCTAAATGAACTAAATACCCACTTATGCATTTATGGTCTATTATTTTGAGTGAAGAGTTCTACCACAACATTTTGACAACTGCAAATCCTAGATCTTGGTTTGGGAAAGGTTGCAAGCACAGATTAGTAAAGCAGCCCTAGATTTATAGCTTTTTGTCTCAAAGAACAGCAATATAGTCTTACATTCCCAAAAGATCGGTCCTTTGTATTATATTTTATTAGCAAAAAAACTCTATGAGATAAGTTTGTCTGAAGGATGGTGATTTGCTCAGTGTAAAAATTCTTCATGGCTGAAGAATTAAATTCATGAATTTAATTCCCATTAAATTCCTGCTCAACAACAGCACAAAGATTTTTATTATTATTACTTCTCTACATAGAAAATATTGAATAAACTATTCTTCACGCTAATGATCTCTATATCAAATTATTCCAATTGCCACACTACAGATATTTTGAAATATAAACACTAGTATTCCAAGCTATTGTGGCCAATATTTATATTGATTGTGTATATACTTAAGTAAGAGACAATTTGGTGTAGTAATTAAGGCACCAGGCTAGAAACCAGGAGAAACCAGTCCTGCCTCAGTTGGGTAACCTTGAGCCAGTCACTTTCTGTCAGCCCTAGAAAGGAGGAAATGGCAAATCACTTCTAAAAAACCTTGACAAGAAAACCACAGGGACTTGTCCACACAGTTTGTGAGAATTGAACATGACTGAATGGAAGAAAAAAAATAAATATTGTGTTTGTAATGTAGATAGAAGAAATGTTCTGCATCTGTCTTGAATTATGCTGCTTCTTAGGTTATTTCAGTTCAAGAATTATATTTGTCTTTTGAATGGCAATTTACTGGTGAGAGAAACAAGGGAGGGGGAGGAGGAGAAGGAGGAGGAAGAAGAAGAAGAAGAAGAAGAAGAAGAAGAAGAAGAAGAAGAAGAAGAAGAAGAAGAAGAAGAAGAAGGAGAAGGAGAAGGAGAAGGAGAAGGAGACGGAGAAGGAGAAGGAGAAGGAGAAGGAGAAGGAGAAGGAGAAGGAGAAGGAGAAGGAGAAGGAGAAGGAGAAGGAGAAGGAGAAGGAGAAGGAGAAGAAGACTATTTTTTTAAAAAAAAGCCTTTAACAGTGCCAATATTCAACACAAACTATGATGTCCTTTGGCCTAAATTATGTGGGCTTGTCTGTGTTTCTAAACATGCTATTTGCTGAAACTTCACCTCCAGGTTCAAAGCAGTAGACAAGAGTTAACTAAATGAAAAGTGATATGAGGCCACAGTCAGAATAAGGCTAATATTATTTTTCTTCACAGCTATCCCATTTAAGCATGTTTCATAAGACAATGTGAAAGACAACATGGCCCTGAGGGACAGTCAATATTCCACAATATTTATTGTTTGGCTTATACTTTTTAAAGATCGTCCTGCTGCACATAAAATCAGGGTTGCAATTTCAGATATTGGTGAGGGGAGAAACAATTTTTCAAAACAAAATTTACAGGCTTACTGATGGATACTTTCTGTATTATATTGAAAAAACAGTAAACATTAGTTATAATTATTTTAACTTATTCAAATATTGAAAATAACTATACAGATTATCAACATGAACCAGATAACTTTATATTGGTATATTTATTGTTCATCTCCTGGAGTAACAAGCACTGGATAGTTTATAGAAGAATAGAATAGAATAGAATAGAATAGAATAGAATAGAATAGAATAGAATAGAATAGAATAGAATAGAATAGAATAGAATAGAATAGAAATTTGTCTCTGGTGCAGAAGATCTCAATGTACATGCATAGCAACATAATAATGATAATAATAATAATAATAACTCAGGACATGGCTATCAAACATCAAAAACATCTGTAAGACTATCCCACCTCCTTTACATGGATGATCTGAAGCTGTATGGAAAAACATCATCTGAAATAGAATCGCTGCTCAACACTGTCCGTATATATAGCCAAGATATTGTAATGGAGTTTGGCTTGGACAAATGTGCCACACTTACTATCAAACAAGGAAAAATAGTGAAAACTGAAGGAATCAAGATGCCCACGAAAATAACATTAAGAGTCTGGATGAGGAAGAGTACTACAAATACTTGGGTATCCTTCAAGCTGACAACATCAAGCACACTGAAGTCAAGAAAAAGATTAGAGGTGAATACATCAAGAGAGTGAAGAAGATCTTAAAGTCCAAACTCAATGGAGGAAATACCATAAAGGCAATCAACACCTGGGCAATCCCAGTCATTAGGTACACAGCTGGAATAGTGGACTGGACTCAAGCAGAACTAAAAGCAATGGATAGGCAGACCAGAAAAATAATGACAATGAATCATGCCCTTCATCCACGCAGTGACATTGATAGACTTTATCTACCAAGGCAAATAAGTGGGCGTGGAATGCTACAAGTACATCAGATGGTTGAAGAAGAAAAAATGGCTTTGGAAGAATATCTGAAGAACAATGATGAAGATGCACTGAAATTAGTATATCAGGAAGGCTTACTAACTACTGGAGAGACCAAACTGGCCTACAAGAAAGACCAAATGAAGAACAGAATAGAGGCATGGGAAGACAAAGCACTACATGGCCAATACATGAAAAAAATAGCTGGGAAAGCAGATAATAATAAAACCTGGCAATGGCTAAGAGCAGGAAAATTGAAGAAAGAGACCGAGGGACTAATTCTGGCTGCACAAGACCAAGCCTTAAGGACAAATGCATACAAAGTCAAAATTGAGAAGACAGCAACAGACAGTAAGTGCCGCCTATGCAAAGAAGCTGAAGAAACAGTGGACCACTTGGTAAGCTGTTGCAAGAAGATTGCACAGACTGATTACAAGCAGCGGCATGACAAAGTAGCAACAATGGTGCATTGGAAGATCTGCAAAAAATATCATTTGCCTGTAAGCAAAAACTGGTGGGATCATAAAATAGAGAAAGTCATAGAAAATGATAAAATTAAACTGCTCTGGGACTTCAGAATTCAAACAGACAAGCACCTGCAACATAACACCCCAGACTTAACAATTGTCGATAAGAAAGACAAAAAAGTC